GTGCTGCTGGGTCAGAATTAGCATCACAACTGCATTCATTTGATAATGTTAATGTCCAATAAAAAGGTGATAATGGCACGTTACATCGCCCAACAGTTCACCAGCTATATCAGTTTCCATTTGTCTGTAGGAACTTTATTAATGTATATTTTTTTCAAATTGTTTTAAGATATTTTTATATTCAGTGGGGTTTATTTTGCTGTGCTGTTTTAATAAGTGATACATGGCATCATTTAGTACAATCAAGTAACTTGCTGTTATCAGAAGTAATTTGTGTTGCCTTAGATTGTCTAAAAAAAAACACGCTGTACATATCAAATATGATGTAAAAGAAATATGACTTCGTAAATTAGTGCCTTGGTTTAAGAAGCTCCTGCTGTTGCCTTCAGAATGTCACGTTTCTCAGTTTGACATCGTTTTTACCAGCGTCGCACTGAGAAGTGGTTCTTATCCTGAGCTCAGCAGATGTGCAGTTCTAACAGGTGTTTGCTAATTGCTGCTGGCTAGTCTGAAGGAGCTGAGTGAGGAAGAGAATAATGTAAAGCTAAAAAAACAAAAAAAATAAAAATTTTCACATAATATTGCCCTTTTTAAATCCCCCAATTTAGTTTGGTTATTTTGAAGACACCGTATTTTAAATGCAGCACGATCCCTGATAGCCAGGATCACTGATCAAACCAAAGTAACTGAATGGACTCCTGCTGGTAAACACCATTTATTGAAGTAATATAACCATAACATATACAGTAAATCATAGAAAATCATTTTGAACAATTGGCTATCAAAGCAACTCAAGGACATTTCCCTGTTTGGGACAAAAAGTTTTTGTCACGTTTTTCAAACGTAACAAAACAAAACAGGATAACGGCAAAGGGCCAAAGTAACCATTAAGCTGACAAAATATGTTCGTTATTTCAGCAAACCATTGTTTACACTTTTTATTGACTTATTTGTCCCATTGAAGAGATAATTGGAGATTAAATACATTTTTAACCCGATAGTTGAATTTGCAGTTTAGGGTTGTTGTAGAAACCAACCTGAAAAGTTAGGCTTAAAAGTTTTACTGGGAATTTAGAAGGAAAGACAGAAACATATCTGATGCTGATTCTAGGTGTATTTAAGTTTCACTGGAACATTTTAGATTGTTTTTGGTAGAAACAGCAACAATTAGGTTCACTGAAGGATCCCAGCCACTCCAGCCCTCGGCTGTTCTCTCACAGCCGACCTGCAGAGGGAGCCGTTGCACAAAGAACAAACGTTTGAAATCATCGTGGAATCAGGATCAGTCAGAGAGTCACTGGATCTTTCCAGCTCACAAAGCTGCTATGATCCATTTTCTGTCCTTTTCTCCTCCTCGTCTTCTTCCTCCTCCTCAGTGTTGTCCTCATCTTCGCTCTCACTGTACTGGTAGTTACAGCGGTTTGTGTTCACGAAGAGGTCACTGTCGTCATCTTCCGAGTCGCTTCCTTCCTCTTCATCATCTCTCCCCTCCGCCTCCTCTTCCTTGCTGCTCGTCTTGTCCTGCGATGACTGCTCCTCCATAAAACCCTCGGGCCTTAAAGAGACACTCCGTGGTTTAGGAGGCTTCCACTGCTCTCCCTCTGAGGGGGTTTGGGATTCTACTCACCAGAGTTGCTGTTTCTGCAGGTACTGAATGTGATCTTTGTAGAGAATGAAGCTGATCTCTGCCTTCACCTTCTCCCCTTCTTCAATAGGATCCACGATGACATAATCACCTGAGAAACAGAATGAAATTATGCAGGAAATTAATCTATAACAAAAGGATTTAAAGCAAATATTAACTTACAGTGATCATAATCTAACTTCTTAACACAATATAGGGTGTTCCCCCGTAATACCCATATTCCCAAAACAAGATGTCGTCTCCATCTTTTCTGTTAGTGACTGCCTGTAGTAACATCCAGTTGTTGATTATGTGACTCGTGTGATGCAAAAAAAAAAAAAAAAAAAGGGTCTCCATCAAAGTTTTGTGAAACACGCTAATTTCAATATGACCAAAAACAGCTTCATCCGAGCTCAATTCATTTATTTGTTTTTGTGGAAACTGCGTTTTTTTTTTTCTTCAAAATTGCTGCGTTTACATTGGGTGAATTTTTTTCCGGAACTAATTTGCGCAATTATATAATTGATGGAAATGCAACTTACGTTAACACACAGGCACATCGGCCGATCTTCATCATTTTTTAACATATAAGTCTCGCTCCAGTAAAGAAAACTGGGTCGCTATTACCAACAGATATTTATTAACATCATTATGCCGTTGGTTTCTGGACAGGGAGGAAGTTGGTCATGAGGTCTTTGGTCATGTGACAGTGCAGCACAGGATTGTGGGGGGTTTAAATGAAGCAGTGTCAGTCGTGTGACTGTTTCTTTGAAGATGTTGAAAGGGTAGTAAGATGTATATAAGATTGGTAAAGATATGAAAACAATATTAGTCCGAAGGTAGAATGGGTATATTTAAACACAAACTGCCCCATTAGACATCTTTAAATACTTATGAATGGCTCAATGACTTCATTTTCAGAAAAATAATCCTACTCTTAAAATCACCTCTCTTGATCCAGATGTTCTTGCGGAACTTGGTGGGCATGCTAACTAGGAACGTCTCGCCCTGAGCCGTGACCGCTTCGTGGAGGTTGTTGCCACGGCTACCAGTCACCTGTGAGAGTGTGCAGGTGGAGAAAGGAGATACGACATGGTTAAAACGTCCTCCTGAGTGTTGTTAATGACCTGTACATTAAAATGTTTACCTTCACAATCTGCTGGTTCTCCGTGGGAGTGATCAAGTCTCCCAGAACTTCCTTCACAACATGTTTGCGTTTAGTGGCCTGTGACATTTTAAGTTATGGGTAGCAGTTTTCTTCGCCAGCTTGAAGAGAAAAAAGTAATTACAAAAAAGTCGGAATAGATTCTGTACTTGTTCTGCACACACTTTAGCACACTTTGTCAAACATTTAATTCTCAGGATTTTGTATTTGTACAAAATCAGTACAAATAGAGATGGGTAAGACTATGATTTATCACATAACAGAAAGCAAAATTTGTTTAAAAAAATTAGTCATGTTGAAATACTACTACTAATACGTAGGAGTGGGCGATATGGTCTTCACAGTTTTATCACGATATTTGCGATATTATTGTGACGACTACTGACATAATTTGCACATGGCTGGTAAAAAATAAATTCACAGAGTTTGATACACCGATAAGTTAATAAACTTGTAGACATAAAGAAAAGCTAGATAACTACATTTGGAAACTCTTAATTAAATGTTTTTGAAATAAACGGAAATCCTTTCATAGTCCGCAAATGGCATGATCACAGAACGTTGTGTTACACCTGGAAACACTGCTGCACATTAACCAAACTTAGTTAACTATCACCTATCAAAGTGTCGACAACTACAAAGAGTCACAAAAGTGATTTAAAAAAGCAAACACACTCGAATATGCTACCTCTGAATGCGGTCATATTCTTAATACCGTACATAATTTATTAATGATACGAAGAACTTAGCTTGATATGCTAATACTGCTAACACTGGCTACGTTGAAAACTACTACTTGTACTTCCGCTCCTACCTTGAAAACTAGAGACCAAAGTCTAGTTTCAAAACGAAGTATGTTTCCTAACAGCGACAAAAAGGGCAGCAGAAAAGCTGAACAGAATAACAGGGTCTTTTCTATCAATGAATATGCCACATGCTATCACGTTTTCTGAAAACACCAAAAACAAACGTCTCACTTCCGGTGTTAACGTGCTTTTCACTTTCGAAGTAAAACCAGTATGAGTTTATTTACCTTCTTTTTTTTAAAAAAAAACTTTGCTCTTTTGTCACATGCTTTTCTGATAATTATGAAATTCAATACAACAGTAATATATTGTCCTCTATTTAAATGTGAAACATTATTACGAGCTGGGAAACACTTATTTTTATTTTACAGGTATCTTTCTGCGGAAGCAAGGGTTATCTATTTCTGGGTTATTCTTAATTTGCATTATGGGAATTGTATTTCTTTCAGAAATCAGAGCAATGTTCAAGATCACCAACATTTAAATGCTTGTAAGATGCATATAGTAATACCATTGGGTTCCCTACGGCTTCTAAGTCCAAACGCATCTGTACTGTCTATCTGTACTGTACAGATGTGGGTATTAAATACTTACAATTACTTCAGTAACCTTTGGGTACAGGAATACTTTTAGAAGTAGTTTTTACTACTCCATACTTTTTACTTTTGCTTGAGTAATGTTATTATGAAGCATTTCTTCTTCTATTTGAGTAAAATAGATACTCAGGCCTTCACAGAATAAAGAACAAACATATTTTTTAAGCAAAAGGCAACAAACACAGATCTACCACTGATGTGAAAGGCAGACTTCTTGTTTGTAAACAAGCTTTGTTGTTCTGATGTCATTTTGTATCTGCTATTGGACCATTTGGAGATTAAGTGAAGATTCAGCAAACACCATATATTGTCACTGCAAATACTTTTCCTTATCCTATGGATTACCTGCTGTATTAGTGTCCTACGTTTTGTATTTTAAAAAAAGTTTAGCATTTCTTCTGCTTGAATTTGTTTTGTAATTGTTATTTGTATTAATTTGTAATATAACACCCAAATTTGCACTTAACTTAATATACTTTTTCTCTTCCTACATAATTTTTAAATATTAAATCACATATGATCGGTTACTCAGAGTTCTTTTTTTTCTTGAATAATTTATTGCAAAGCTACTTTTTACATTTACTTGAGTGTAAATATGTTGAATGCTTATATGAGTGTATGCATGTGTATGTGTGTGTATTGTCCTGTGATGGGCTGGCAACCTGATAGCGCCTCTTGTCTAAGGTCAGCTGGAGATAGGCACCATTTAGACTGGGTTTTAGATGATGGATGGATAATAATAATTGACTGTCTCCATTCATGATTCCAAATGTCTAAGCAAAGTGATTTAGTTTGGACACTTCATGAACTTTTTTTTTAATTCCCACATTTTATTCAAACATCTTTTTTTTTCACTCTCACTGCAGTTGTTATTACAGTTTAATAGTCCTGTGCAAACCTTTCCTTGGAAACAAATCTCAATTAATACAACAATTAATAAAAGAACTTAAAAAAAAAAACACTGAGTAGACATGGTCTAAGTTTCACAATACCTCGAGCACAAGCACGTTTATTGCTAGTAGAGATGAGTTACAAACAACACTGCCTCTGCTGAAACAACGGAGTAACGTGCAAACAAAATGCAGTTTCAATTTACAGCAATATTTCACAGTAACATCAAAGCTAACGTCAGTAGAGCTGGTGTGACAGAGTAGGCTGACATGAGGCGGGAGGTATGACGTTAGAATACAGCAAACGGTTTAACGGAACGTTGTTAGAGCTTGGAAGTGCCTTCACTTGGATCCTCATGCAGTTTGTTCCTGTGCTTTTCGTGAGCTGACGTAGTTGTACCAGGCGGCTGGTACAACACAGACAGCATGAAGATTAGTTGACAACAGCTGAAGAGCACATCTTGTTGATTCCACATGCATTGGACCCCCTGTAAAGGTAGTAGTAACCCTGCAGAAGAGACAAACAAAATACAAAATAAAACTCTTACAATAACATAAAACATTCTAGTTTAATGATATTAAGTTGAGTTAAATTTACACCAGACCTCAATGTATTTACAACATGGTACTGGCTCCATTTATTAGTAAAGAAGCTTAAAAAGCCTTGAAATAAATTTAAATTTTATTGTAGTACTGGAAAAAAATCGGTAAAAAGAAAAAAAAACCTGAATGCCAAGGTAAATTATATACTGTAATTAAGCACTGCGGGTGATATTAATACTTACAGAACAGTGCTGCTATAATTGTGTGCTAAGAGAAATGAATTATGGTGGAATAATTTGTTATACGAGCAAGAAGTTAATTTGTGATTTGAGTCAGGTTGTAAATATTAACTTATATGAAGCAAGCTAACAGCAATTCAGCGCTAAAGTATTGTCCGATAAGGAAAGTGGGGCTGATTTATCGGTACACCTGTAAAACAATGTAAATGTAGGATTCTACACATCTGTCAGCATATCTGCATTCCTGTACCCTACATTTAACTTGAATCAAATAAAGTTAGTGGTAGTTGTTGTTGTTCTTGTACCTCCTCTCCGTAGTCCTCCCCCCAGCTGTTCTTGATGGCCCAGAATGGGATGCCATTTCCTGAAAGAAGAACAGCACAACGAAAACAGTTTAAAATACTCTGAATCACAAACTAATATCAACAGATGTCATTAAACTCTGATTGGGGAGGAGTGATTTACTCACGTTCACCATATCCCACCAGCAGCACAGCGTGGTCGATCATCCACGGATTGCAGAAGATCTTCATTGGGTGACTAACACCCTTTCTGTAGAACTACAGGAATATAAAGACAACCATAACCGTGACTGTAAAGGCAAATTTTACTCTTTGATGATACAGGAAAAAAATAGTACAAGTTACATCAGACCAAACAGAGAAACGGAAAGAGGAAGTAAAGAACTCGCCTGCATTGCAAAGGCATTGAGAGCGACAGAGATTGGTCCTTTCTCTGCCAACCAAGCGGCAATTTCTGAGAACAAGAATAAAGCAGTAAAATATTTGCCTGTTTAATGACGCTTGGATGCTCAACTCGCATAACATTGACTCTCTTACGATATGGACTTACAGTTTTATCACAATATTTTGCGTTACCATTGTGATATCGATAAAAGTGACGATAACAACGGTTTATTAAATCCTTCTTACTTCTACTGTGTGTTGCAGCAATTATAGCCCCACAAACAAAAATAATGCTCTTGAACAAACATTCCCATTTTGGGATACGTTTCTTTAAGACACCAGTCACGTAAAGAAGTGTGATTTGTGTCACTAAACAGTAACTATTTTCAAATTTATCAGTATTTGTTGATCAAACAGTGAAGAAAAGAGTAGAATTACAAAACTCAAAAATAAGGAGAGTTTTGGGGGATTTTAAAACATCATTAATTGGAATTTATTGTGACAGCAACAAATCAAAATTCTTACCATGGTAAGAAATTTATCGCAATAAATGATAAATGATACGATAAATGCCCACCCCATTGCTTACCTTTTTCGTCTTTGGAAATCTCCAGTGAGCTGTTGATGTAGGCAGCCACCTTCCTGTCGGTGAAATCACACGTCTGCTTGTGTCCTTTGTAGGAGTAATCCGTTTCTGTCTCCAGGCCACCTTAATGGCACAGGAGAGACAAACATGCATAAAAAAAAATATATATATAACATAAGCTTATTTAAACTTAAATCCTCCCTTTTCAGTTTTCTGTGTGTTACTGTTCCCGTGAAGCTGTTTCTTACCCAGCTTTTCAATAGCTTCATAAGCGTTTGACGGCAGTCCACCTCTGCATGCCTGGTCCACTCCATCACAGTCAACCAGCTCTGCAAAGCAGAGAGTGTATAATCCACTGATTTAATGGAAAATTGACTGTTTTCATTGCATTTCGAATATGTTAGTGGTGAGCTTTTTCAGTCAGAATCTGAGGACGACTTACCCTGTTCTGACAGTGACAGCAAAGTCCCATTTTTCAGGAACCACTGGCCCTCGATGTTTCCTGTGACAGAAAACGCCCAGCAAGATCCACACATGCCCTACAAAACACAACGAGGGTTCAAAAATGTACCTGCGCTACATCAAGTTATTCCCAACAGAGTGAGCCGTCGGTTATTAACTCTTCTGCTCGGCATCACCTGGTTCTTCACGGGACTAACGGCTCCGTGATCCCTCCAGTCCCAGCTGCCGGGGGCAGGGCCTTTGGCGGTGGGGGCAGGTTTCATTGGACGATGAAGAGTCCACTGACTGAGAAGCGGGTTCAGGTACGTGGAACGAAACTCCTCCTCTGGACGAAAACAGATGGACAGAATACAAAGCTGAAACGTTTGTGGTACCGGGAAAATGTCGAGTTGTCACAAAGCTGCAATGTTAAAAGCAGAAGACGCATTTCCTCGTCGGAAATAACCGGACGGCACACGGTGGCACGCACCAGTTAGGTCGCTGAACTTGGTAACGCCGTACTCAGCCGAACCTTGATCCAAAGACTGGAGCTTCTCAGCCGTTTTCAGGTTCTCGTGAAAGATCTGTAGGCGCATGTCAGCCTCTGTCATGGAAACACGCACAAAGACAATACTTAACATCACAACATGCAATGTCAGATTAGTACTTCATGTGATCTCTATCTATCGCTTTCTAATTGCAAGCCAACAAACATTTGTCATTTTCTTTTATTAGTACTTGAGGTAAGCTAGTCATTGTCCAAACTGAGCTCAGAAATTGAAGTTTGAAATTTGACTCTTTTTGGCTTTTACGTCTTGGCTAAAATTCTACAGTAATTAAACTTTACTGTTGCTCTGTGCTCCATTCCCATTAAACTTATGTATTCTGTTTAGGGCTGGACGATATGGCTTAAAAACATATCACAATATTAGGGTTTCATATCAGTCGATGATGATAATTATCGAGTAGTTTTTTGTTTTATATATCTGAAATGCTGCCAGCTGGTGATGTGACCGTTCTTGTTTCATCCAGTTTCCGCTGGATGTGTTGTACTCATTTTCTTTATTCACTCCTGGCTGTTGATTTTAATTTCTAAGCAGTTATGTGGCACGGTGGAAAAGCCTGACATTGCTGCTGCTCAAGTTACTCAACAGGTTGTTGCTAGGTAACCAAAGAGTGAGTGAATTTGTTGATGCCACCAACATTATAGCTGGTTGTGAAAGGTTGAGCAGCGAAAGCTTTTCCTCTGCTTTCATCTCCCAGAATGCTGTTTGGTTCTGAATCGGAGATCAGTGAAATTATTGAATAATGTATCGGACATATCTACAGACACTGATCATGTATTTATCACGATATATAATGTTATTGATGTATTGCTCTTATCAAACAGTGGAGAAAATAGTAAAAATAGCATTTACAATTACGTCAGTTTTTTTAACATCTTTCATTGAAATTTATCGAGACGATGATAAATCAGAATTCTTCTTATAAGACATTTTTACAGTAAATGATAAACAGTAAGATAAATGCCCACAGCTAACTCAGCGGTCAAGAAAATGTGGTTAATCACAGCTGCTGCGAAATTTTATAAAGTGGATAACTGGTTTTTCAAATAGTGCAAAGTCAATTTGGACCAACTTTTTCCTCTTAAAAAAAGTAAAACATTATTTGAAAACTGCTTTTAATAATTCCTCTTAATAAGATTACTTTGACCCTTTAGGTTTTGCGTATTTAACTGTTTCACAACATTCTGTGTATACATGGAACTGAATGTGGGCTGACTTGTGAGTGTGTTTTCCCTTCAGGGTGAACACAATGAGCACAAAAGGTTCAGTATCTGTGCACCAGAATGTGACTATGTGTGTGTTTGGGCATATGTATATGTGTGTGTGTGTGTGTGTGTGTGTGTGTGTGTTCATGCAGCTGCTGGATTGTGTGAGCGTGTGCAAACCGCTCACCTTCCTGACTGCTGTACACCTTATTGTATCTAACCATGAACTCTTTAAACTGGCCCAGCAGCTCCACGGACTCCTACCACAGAGAGAACAAAGAGAATAAACGACTGCTGGGGCACGTGACGAAACGCTGACAAAACCTCACTAAGCTGCTGTTTTTCACCTCTGAGGGCTGGATGGTGGATTGAGCCTCCAGCATGTTGGGCTGTTCTGAGGTTGGACCGACTGAAACGAGGAGAGCATATTAGTCGATAAACACGTGCCTCAGTTTCATGTTGTCAAATGTAGATTTATTTTAAACAGCACTAAGTAGCAGTAATGGAGGCTTTAGCAAGGTGAATGCTAACATTAGACATTGACTCGTCACCCTTTACCTAATTTATCTCATTGATCCTGGTTATGTAACATGAAGGTCAGACTGAACAAACAAGACCATGCCGAAAATACGAATAAGGGTGATTTTTTAAAAAGTTGATGTAGATCACCTGATATTGCAATTATCCTCAAAATACTTTAGTCAGAGAAAAAAAAAGACCTGTGTATATATACCTATATATATATATATATA